AATAAATTTCCTAAAGTGTTAGGTGTTAAATAAAAAAAGTTTTATCAATTTTTGATAAAAATGAAGAAAGTTATGGTAAAAATAAAAAGTTGCGCGAATTTGCCGCACCCTGTATGTAAAATACCGCCCGATACCGGTTAACGTAAGATTTATCTCAATGCAAACATGAATTTTCATAATATGCTAGCTATAATTTTAGCATTAACCTTTTAGCCCTAATTACTAAATATTTTACATAATATTTTAAAAAATAAAATTATTTATTATTACAAATTATGCAATTCTAAAAATCTGAAAATGATTAAAATCATCCAATAAAGGCAAAATTAACTTTTTTTCTAAAAGAAATTTTTTGAAAATTTTTTCTAATATATAATAAGGGTGATATCAGTTAATTTAGAGAAACAAAAAATATTGGAAGGTTTAATTCGTATATGGAAGAAATTCTTTGGTATCCTCCTTAAATCCTTCATACAAATACATACTCTTAGTCTTTTGATATCCCTCTAATCCCTTGGTATTACACTTAATACGACTATATCCTTTTTAACTATAGAAACGGGGATATTAGGGGGCAAGAGGTGTAAAAGTATTTTGAAAAAATTTTTAATTTGATAAAATACTGATCAAATTATTAAGATGAAATTTTTTCAAATAGTTTGGAATTTAAAAGTTAAATCATGATATATGTAGGTATTGTTGAAAGGTTTTAATCCCAAAGATATTTAAGAAATTTATTTGAGAATGTAATCTCGAATTTTTTATTTTGGACCAGTTGCAAAATATATTTATTTTTACTTAATTACTTTTAATTAAGTGCCAAAAGCATAATAAAACAGAAAAGGGCAAAAATGTAGCGCTACTCCTAACGCAAACATCCAAGAATAGGTATGAAAGGTGCGCATTCTTTTTGCGGACAGATCCGAAGAATTTTTTCAAAATTTTTTTTATCCTAATTCTCCTCTGATTTCTAATTAATCACCTTAATCAATCTATTCTTTAAAAAATTTAATTTAATTCCACATTTTTAGATATTAAAAAATGAACAAAATTATTATTATTATTTTTATTTTTATGATTGTTTTTTATTTGAGCCAGAATTTAGGTAATAAAATTAATACAAATTTAAATGTGTTCGGAAAAAGGAATACCCTAGGATTTCTTTGTTGGGTTCTTTTATTTAGTTCTTCAGAAACAAGGGGATTTTTGAGGGATTTATTTCAAAAAATTTCGGCTGTGGCCCTTAAAAATTTTTGTCATACTTTTTTATTCTTTGAAATTCCCCTTAAACCCCGAAAATATACAGGTAATAAAAATATATCTAAAAAAATTAGATTTTTGTTTAGAAAATTGCGGCTGCCATTATAAATGCATAAGATGTGGAGGTTATTGTGTCTATGGTACATATAATTATTATAATTAGGAAAAAAATTTTAGGATAAACTAACCTATATTTTTCCTGAAATACTAATGTTGAAACCTATTTTAGAATTTTGCCATCTATAATAGTTTGTTAACTATTTTCATGTTTTTTGTTACCTATTTTGGATATTTTACGTGGAAATTTTTTTATTTTTCCTTCATTTTTCTTATCAGCTCAGAAAATTTTTTTCGATTTAGAAAATAACAATTTTTTCAAAACATTTTTTTATTTTTAAAATGAATACTCTGAAGATTTCTGATACCTAATTATGGGGACACGCCCGAATAGTCGCGCCGCCATAAGGTCGCTAAGCCATAACTTGCTTTTTTCCGAATCTGGCCAAATTTAGTATTAAACGATTCCTCTCATCGAGCTAGAGATTGGAACCAAAATTAATATGGGCCAGAAATTTTGCAGCAAAGTTATGGCTTGGCGACCTTATGGCCGCGCGACTATTCGGGCTGTACCCCTAATTATGATGTAAAATTTTTTATATTTAGGAAAATTTTGTCGATGCTACAATTGCATGAAGAGCTTTATGGGCATGAATAATTCTAATTAAGAATATAGATTATAATGTAAATATTATTTTTAGAAATTTTATTTCGGTACACCTCAATTGAGTCCCGACTCAATTGAGTCCCGGACCCTATAACTTATGAAGGGATGGACACTTTTTGCTACTCTTGGTACCATTGGATAGGGCATTAAATAGGCTACAATATACCAAAAAATCAAAATTCCCGACCGACTGGTAAAAAAGTTATGATCGATAAAGTGCCGAAAAATCCGATTTTTTTGAAAAAGTTAGTTTTTAGATCATAACTTTTTTATCAATAGGTCAAAAATTCTGATTTTTTGATATGTTGTAGAGCTTTTGATTCTCTATCCAATGTTACCAAGAACATTAAAAATTATCAACCCGTACTTGAGTTATAGGGCCGGGACTCAATTGAGCCGGGACTCAGTTGAACTGCTCCGATTTTATTTGCTTTATTATATTTAAAATTTAAAAAATATTTCTAAAGAAAAATTTTTTTGGCTCTATTGCATTTAAGCGTCCAATCAAAAAAATTGGATTTTCCTTTACATTTTGAATTTGGGATTGTGTTATGTAACACTTCATGTTCGGGACTTACGGCCATTGGGTCTGGGATCGTCCCTTATCCTATTCCTCTAAATTTTTGAAAGTTATAATTGCTTTTCTGAAATTTAAACAATTGGCTATAACTTTCAGAAATTTCGAGGGGTAGGGTAAGGAACTGTCCCAGACCCAGTGGGCGTAGGTCCCGAACATGAAGAAATGATCTGAAACCCAATGCCTAATTCAAAATGTAAGAAAAATTCAAATTTTTTTAATTGGACGTATGTATATTGTGCCATTTTCTAATTCAAAAAAATAAAATTTTTATTAAAATAAAAATTTATCTTTTAATAATATTTAGTAATATGTTTATAATTTGGAATTTAAAGAAAAAGATCATAGCAAAATTTTAGTACATAAAATTAAATATTTATAGGAATTAAAATTTCACAGCATAGGGATAGGAGAACTAATTTTTAAAAAGAATTTAAAAAAGATATGTCATAATTGATATAAAGATTATTTTTCAGAAAATATTTTTACAAAATTAGCATTAATATCTGTTAAGACTAGGGAAAACAACTAACAAAGCAATTAGTTTCGTATAAGTCTGGTTCGTATAAGTCTGGAGTTTTTTTGGGTACAGCCCAAGCAAGGGCGCGCGGCCAAGTAGGCGCAAAGCCATAACATGCTTCAAGATTTTCGAATCTTTCAAAATTTAGTATTAAGCGATTCCTCTCATTGAGCTAAAGAGATTAGTTCCAAAATTGTTAAGGTCCAGAAATTTTCCAGGTAGTTATGGCTTTGCGCCTACCTGGCCGCGCGCCTACTTGGGCGTGTCCCAGTTTTTTTTATCATTATTAAATATTCTATAAATATTAGGATATTAAAAAAAATTCCAAAAAAATAAAATTTTCTCTAAATTAATTTTTAAAAAACAGTCATATTTCCCCAAAGTTCAAGTCGTTTAATCCATCCTTTAGTTTTGAACCAATTACGCATTGATTCACTATAGGGATCGCAAATACCCGTCCACCTGTTAAATATAATTTTTTAAATTTAATTTTAAGAAAATTCACGTTTTAGGGGTGCAATAAAGCTCTGAAAAGTCCAAATATTTGCTTTTTAAATCCCAAGCATTATCATAAATTTTATTACTGGATATCATTCCAAACTCGCTAATATTCACTGAATAATGTACCGCATATAATTGAGTATCAGAAGTGAAAAAAGGAACAACCTGAATTTTAGAGAGTAAAAATAAGTTTATATTCTGAAAAATAGAAAATTCGTCAGTGATGGACAAAAATTTTAGAAAGACTAATTATAACTATTTTTAAATCAGTAATTATTGACCTTTCCCTCAAGAGGGTAACTACTAGAACCGGAACCGAAACTTTTCAAAGTTCCGGCCCGGAACCGGAACTTTTAAAAAAAATTTTTGCTAGCACATTTTAAAAAATTTTTATTTTAAGTAGGGGTGCGGTTTCGCCAAATTTTTCGATTAAATTCTGCCAAATTCTTCTGTTAATCGAAACGAAAAAAAATCCAAGTTTTGGAAGACCAAATCCCCAGCTATTCAATCCCTGATATCTAACTTGCACAGCTCATTCCCTGGACATCCCAAATCCCTCTATATTACCTATAACCCCTTGAACTCACATAATGTAACTCAAAATCCACCTTCATCCATCCAAATCCTTCGATTTACCATACAACTTCCCTTCATAGCGCCGCAGGCGAAAATTTTGGGATTTTAGGTGAACCAAGGATACAAATTTCTTCCTTTTTAAGCGCCGCAGGCGAAAATTTTGGGATTTTAGGTGAACCAAGGATACAAATTTCTTCCTTTTTAAGCGCCGCAGGCGAAAATTTTGAGAATTTGTGTGACCAAGTAGCTAGATTTCTTCATTTTCTTGCGCCGCAGGCGAAAATTTTGAGAATTTTGAAAGGCCAATCGGGGCAAGCCAATCCATATTTCTTAAAAAAACTAATCCTTAGGGGTGTAAAAAAGTTCCGGTTTGCCCGGAACCGATTTGTAAACCGGAGCCGGAACCGGAACCAATTTGAGTTCCGGTTCCCGGAACCGGAACCAAAAAACACCGGAACTTTCCGGAACCGGAACTTCCGGTGAAACTCTAGTAACTACATAATAGAGGCGGGGTAATTAATTGAGGGAGGGTAGTTAATAGAGTATATACTATAGAAACTTTGAATTTTTGTGTATCTAACATTAGGAAAAATTAGCAAAAATTCAGACAAAAAATTTGGCCTAAAAATCTCTACCCATATCTTTACTCAAAGTCGATATCCTGACATTTCGAAAATCAAAATAAAAAAAGGGCAAATCTTTTTAATTTTACCCTCTTGTAAAATTTTTTTCAATTTTAATTTTTGGTTTTCTAAAGTTCTTGAAATTTGCTAAAGGATGTCATTAATCTTATTTTTCAAAAAAAAATTAACAGCCAGATAAAAGCCATTAAACAAGCCGCATTAGGGACATTTCATGGGTTTCTGGAAAATACAAAATGTATTTTCGAGAAACTAAAATATTTTTATTTACCCCCAAATAAGCAGTCCTCATCATTCCCGCACGTATATCAGCCATTAAATTGAAAGTTTTTGATAAATTTCGATATTCACGGGGATCGTTAATACGAACAATAAATGAAGGCTTTTTAAGGTTCTTTTGGTGTTGGTATTGTTTGTATTTTCCTAAATTTTGTAGAAAAATTTTTTTATTTAGTAAAGGAAAAATATTTTCGAAAAAAATTTATTTTACCATCCAAAACTTGTTGTAAAGAAAGTTGAATAGAATTTTCCAACTCTAAACGCATCCGATTATCAAAATTTTGTTTTTCCAATTTTTGAAGGTCATTTTGAGAGAAGGAAGCTGTTTTATCGTGAAGTCTAAATTATTTTTAAAGGAAAATTTTTTAAATTTTCAAATTTTTACCCACCGAATTGAAGAAAGAAAATTCTTATAAAGACCACTAGAATTTAAAAAAAATTATTTTTATATTAAATTTCCATTAACAGACCCACTAGAACCTTTTCCAGCAACAGTTAAATTATGTAAAGTACGAGAAATTTCAGGTCTGATACAAACACGATTTTGGCGTATATTGTTGTTTCGAAGCCAGTCATCCCAATAAATGTCTTTTAAAATTTTAATTAATTTTAATATAGGCGGAATTTTATTGTAAATAGTTGGTTGGAAAATTAGTATCTTATAATAAATTGTATCCTAAATCGGAGATATCCACATAGGCACTTCCCCCCTCCCCAGCCAAACAAATTTAAAAAAGCGTATACATCCCATGGATGTCACGGGTTGAAAAAAGTCGGCTCGGGTTTCGTATTGGGTTTTCAAATTTTTTTTGGATCAGCTGATAGGAAAAAAATTTAGATGCAGTCAAAAAATTTTGAAGGCCAATAAGCTAGATTTCTACAAAAAAAGTCGGATATGGTTTCGGTAATCCGTGAAATTCCTGATATCCCTCATTGGGCGAAGCTTATAGTCAGGTCCAATTTTAATTTAAAATTTTATTTTAAAATAATTCAAAAAAATTTTTAAAAATTACCAGGCCAATTTTCTCTCAATTCAATCCAAAGTTGAGATGTCAACATCCACCCCAAACCTGGGAAAAAATCTGTTCTCCACAATTTATTTATTCCTCCATGCCAATCAACTAAAGAAGGATTTCCATTGTCATTCCAAGCAGAGATACACCTTTGAATTATTTTTGAATTTTTTTAAGTGTATTCAACAATTTAGCCCACAAAAAATAATTGCGGACAAATTTTGCAGACAAAGACTAGACTTCAAAAGTAAAATGTTAGATTTTCAAAAAAAACTCTCAAATTCCCCGGTAACGGGGACGGGGACAACCCTAATAGCCGGATAATTTTTTAAAATTATTTTAATAAAAAAAAATTTTTTCAAACCAAATTGTAGGGTCAGAATAAAGTAAAGGTTTAGTTGAATTGAAATAATAAAAAAAATCTGAAGCAATATCCAAATCATCTAAAAAAATTTTTTTTGAAATTAAAATAATTATTCTAATATGAGAAAAAACAAAAATTTTAAATTAATCCACAAAAATAAAAAGATGTTTTGGTTTAAATAAATTTTTTGTGAAACTCTGAAAACCAGAATTGTGTCAAAAATAAGAGAATGAACAAAGTTCGAAAATTTTATAAAAATTTAGACAATCAAATTAAAAAATGATCGAAAATCATTTTTAGATCTATGGCAATAAATTGGGGAAATTTATTTTTAATTTTTTAATAAAAATTAAGGTAAGGTTACAAATTCGTCAACATTTTAGGAAATGTTAAAGTCACAAAATTAGTCAAAAAGTGGATTTTTCAAAAAAATTTTTAAATTTTTTTTCATGATAATGAACCGAGATTAGCGGTCCCGGAAATTTTCATTTCCCAGAATTTTCCCAAGAATTCGAATTAAAAAAATTAATAAAAAAAACCTTCAGTAATAATAACCGTCTTAAACCCGTTTTCCAAAAATATTTTGTCCAATGCCCATTTGTAATGTTGAGATATTTTAAAATAATTGTCTTTGGCCTTAGCTGGAGGTAATTTTTGTTCTGGATGCTGAAAATTAAAAAAAAAAATTTTTTTAATTTTTCGAAAAAAACCTGTAAATGAGTAAAATAATTAATTTTGGAATTAAATTCTTTAATTGTATTAGTCACTTCAATATTAAATCCATCTTGACTTACAAATATTGGAAATAATTCTGGTGATGGACGTAACCTTAAAAATGTGGGAAGTAAAGTTAAATATTTTTTAATTTTTTGAAAATTTCTAAAAAAAATTTTTAGAAAACGAAAAAAAATTTCAGAAAAAATAGACGCAAGAAGAATAAAAGATTGGGTAAACATCCCCTACAGGAAAAAAAATTAAAAAACATTTGGCAATAAAATATTAAAAAAATAATTTCCCCACTAAGATTTTAAATTAATATAAAAATTAAAAAAACTTAAATTTTTTTTTCAAATAAAAAAAGTAAAAAACTTCTAATCCAAAAATTCTTTACTTTTATAGAAACTCAAGAAAATTGAAAAAAACTTTCAAAAAAATTTTAGATGTTAAAAAAATATTTTTTTATTTTTTTAAATTCCAAAAAAACCTATTTAATTGTTCCAAATGATTTTTAATCGCTATAGGCCTTTTAGCACAAAAAACAAGCAAAGCAATTTGTTCTTCTTTTAGCCTAGTTGTTTCTTCAATTTGTGGTGATGTTAAAAGAAAATTTTGGATTTCCAATTGTTGAGGTTGTGTAAATAAATAATTATTCTTTAAAATAGGAGAAAATTAGAAGGGAAAGATTAAAAGTAAAAGCAAAAATAAAAAAAAGATTTTTCAAATTAAATTCCTTTTGATATCCCAAAAATTTTTTTGTGAAAATTTCTCTCCCCAGAAAATTCCTATTATTCTACAAAATTGTTAAAAATAAGGGGAAAAATTAAAATTTAAAAATAAAAAAAAATTTTAAATTCCTTTTAATTTACTAGAAAATTTTCTATGAAAATTTTTCTCTCCCAGAAAAATTCCTGAAAAAATAAAGCTATATAAAAATAACCCCTTCCCTGCTTTTTAAGTCAATAAACCGTTAAATGTAAACTAATAAAATTTTGGAAAGCGAAAAGTCGTAAACGAGAAAAATAAAAAAAGTACAGTTTTTTCTTTTCAAAATTTTATAGCTTAAAAGTGAGTTCCATATGTGAGTGAGTTCCCCCTAATTCCATATGGAAAAGAAAAGCTACCCCTACCTCCACAAAAATTAAAAAAAAATTTTTTAAATCCTGTGAATAAAAAAGAAAGATCAGAAAGAAAATCAAAAATCGAAATGAAAAATCAGAAAACTTTTGTGACAGAAATCCACCCCAAATTGCTATCTCGGACCTGAAAAATCCTCCCCACCCTACTTCCCTAAAAATTCAAAAAAAATTTAAAAAAAACCTGTAAATAAAAACTGCTAAAAGTCTCCAAATTAATAACATCCGTCAACAAATAAGTAAACAAAATAATTATTGACACAAGAGAAGAACAAAAAATTAGCAAAACAAAAGTCAAAGTAAACCTTTTAATATTACGAAAACAGGCTAGAGAAGACTGTTTATTTTGTCGTCGATTTAAATATAAATTGTAATTAATTGAACAGCAAAAATATTTTAGACGAGAAAATGAAGCGTTAAATTGTTTGTTTGGTAGAGGATTCCAATCCATATTTTTTTTTCTAAAAAGATTTTTTTTGACAAAGGAAAAAAAAACAATTCAAACAATGGGAGCCCATTTAGGCGCGGGGCCATAACGGCGCGAAGCCATAACTTGTCTGGAAAATGTCTATCCCTTTTCAATTTTGGTACCATTCTCTTTAGCTCGTCGAGAGGAGTCGTTTGATACCAAATTTGGTAAGATTCGGAAAAATTGAAGCAAGTATGGGTTTGCGCCGTAGTTTGCTGCGCGCCGTAACGGCGCTGTCCTCATGGTGGGGGATAATTGAGTCTCGCCGGTTGAGTACTGAGTCATATTTTGGGCCATAACTTTTTGGATTTTCACTCAATCCGAATAAATCTTTTATCAATCGAAAGCTCTAAATGTGTGGATTATTTTAGCTAATAGGATCGATTTAATCAGATTTTCCTACAAAAAGTTACAGCCTTATAAGTGAGTGCAATCGTGATTTTTATATTAATTCGACTATAACTTTTTGTAGAATTGTCTGATCAAATCAATCCCATGAGCTAAAATAATCCACACATTTAGAGCTTTCGATTGGTAAAAGATTTATTCGAATTGAGTGAAAATCCAAAAAGTTATAGCTAAAAATGTGTCCTCGAGACTGAATCAACGGTTTTTTTTATTGTCCTTTACCGACAAAGGGAGTTGATTATTTGGAGGTTATGATGGCAATAGATATTTATAAGATGGATAAGTAGACATTGTTATTATTTAAAAAATCTTCTAATTTTAAATACCGAAAAAGGTTATATTGGTGTAACACAACCATAGGTGAAGGACCCTAAAACTTTGGGGGCTTATAACGCGGTCCACGGTAGCATTCAGCGAAAATGGTTCAAATCACAACTAAAGTAGGGTATGATCTATCTGTCTACCAAATTTCATCCCTAAGTTCCACGGACACCCCACAGCCTCTCCTTTGTTAGGTTGTAAAAACTATACCTAAATTTTAAGCCCCCTTTGGATTAAGCGCATTAAATAATAATTAAAATTAACAAAATATTTTCAAAATTGTAATTTTTTTATGTTCCTAAGAGTTGCCTATTTTTGGGCAAAATATCAGAGCAAGAATTAACGAAAATAACAAAAAAGTTTAGTGCCTAATAATTTTTTCCAAATAAATTTTTAAATAAAATTAAGAGAAAAATCAAGTTGTGTAAACATTGAGAAATTTTAAATTTTCCCTTTATGGAATAAAATATTTTATTATGCAAAATCGTTAACAAAATTTGCCAAAATCGTACAAAATCGATTATAGTTTTATTTGGAAAAATCTAAAGATTAATTTTATTTACTAAAATTACTTGTATTGAGGCTCCTTGATTGCTTAATATAAAAAATTCTAAGTTTTCGAGCCCTAAACTGTTGAGTTAGGGCTCGAATTGAAAGAAAAGTTGCGTTTCCCCTCATTTAAAGAAAGAGTTTAGCGAAAGTTTAGCCACCGGGCAGGATTGAACCTGCGACCTCCTGACAGTTATTGCCAGCCGCTTTCGCTCACTACATACATAAGCGGCAGGCCGAAACTTGCGGACCTGACGAATTTCTCAAAACATAGCTCATTCGAAAGAGCTCGACGAGCTGAGTCGAATGACATCAAAATCATCATGATTGTACAAGCTTCGACAAGGTTACGATAGAAAAACAAAAACCTAAACCTTTGGTCCGCAAAAGTCGGTCCGCAAGTTTCGCACTAGCACGTGAGACCTATCACTACCACTGAGCTACCGGGGCATCGACTAATGCTTTCTTTTATCCTTTTTAGATAGTTTAATCCCCACCTCCTCCTTACATTAATAAACTCGAATGACTAAAACAAAACAAAAATTTTTTTGACAGATTTATGCATTGAAAATATAAAAGATAACCGAAGATATCTAAAATCAGACTTGGTAATGGATACGGATACAGATAATTCCAAAATGCCTGCGGATATCAGTCGGTATCCTCCGTAAATATCCGGATACCAAAACCCATGTCCATTACTAAGTCTGTCTAAAATTATGCCTAAATATAAATTTCAAAATAAAATTTTTACAGTAGGACCCATACATTTTAAAATTGAATATAAAACGAGGGAGTATGTATTTTTTTATGATTTCAGAGGAATTTTTCTAGAAATTGGCCTTACTCTCATCTAAAGTTTGCTTAGGGCCAAATTGGAACTCGGGAAGTATGTGTAATACCAGAAAAATGCTTGCTCTTATAATTTTGAAACAAACTTTAAGAACTAAGACTAACGAATTTAAATATCCGGATCAGAAAAAGTACCTACTCCAAAAATTTAAATAATTTCGGCACATAAAATTGGAGAAAGAAAATTGGAAATCAAAGATTTGATAGTTTTTTGTTTAACAGCCATTCTAACAAACGTTTCTTACTCTTCTTTATCTCATAATCAATTAATTGTTTTATTCAATTGGAGAAGTGTAATTATTGTCGTCACTAAAAATTTAAATTTTATTATGATACAAAAAAATACATGGCCGTCAGTTTTATTTAAATATAACACTTACTTTTCCGAATATCTGTTGTTTGTAATTATATCGTTAACGACTTGTTGAAAACCCGTCTCGCCTTCACCTTTCAAAGAATTATCAAGATAGCGAATTCCCTCTGGCCATGATTCATATTCGAACAACCTCCCTTTATGTTCATTCTGTGCAATAGCTATTATGAGTTCATAGACAAAATTATGGCATAGGTAGTTATCTTCTTGAATTGTGCGGCCACGAGTAACCTTTTTATAGGCAATATTGATGATTTGATACAAACTAAGCGGACGCGTAAACACCTTTTATAGTTAAAATATATTTTACAAGCTTAAAGAAAGGAGTGAAATATACAAGTCAAAAGACCTACTTTCGAACGTTCCATCATATTTCTAGTCATTCTTCCCTGTTTGGGTGTAAAATCTTCGTGCAAAACTGTATACCGCGTTTTAGTAGTCACTATTTTATTTTCTTCATCAAGTTCCATGTACACTCGACCATTGATGTCTTCCTTTACAAAATAGCTAGTCTGTCGAGCCGTATCAAAAAAGTTTAAACCACTACCAGTTTGATGAACTTAAATAGTGTCTATTATTGTGTAGAGGAGGGAGTTTTTGGGTGAATGATAAAAAGAATTCTTTTGCCCTTTATGCGACGAAAAGAATTTTCAATTACCATGTAATGGTAAAAATTTAGTCTTTGAAAAAAATTTATTAAGAAAAACTCACGTCTAAACACCTCTTGATCTTCTGAGTAAAACCTAACCATCACGTGCCCGGAAAATAACGGCTGAAATATTGCGGGATCCAAAGGAGGAATGATTTCTAACAGATTCTTTATTTCCATTATAGCACCTTTCCCAAAGTTTGGTAGATATGGTGATCTTTCAAGTAATTTAATTCTTCCATTCTCAATATCTAAAATACATATAATAGAATACATATATGGTACACCCTCCTCAGAAAAATTACAAGGCGGTCTAATGGATTTGGAACTTAATACAAGGAAGCTAAGGAATCCCCATATAACTACTTTTAAATAGGTAAATGATAGAGTGGGGTATTAATATGTATACGTTTGGGATACCCTAAACTCATATTGTGGCAATAGGTTTTAAGTTATCTCCGAGTAATTATTAAAATAGATGGCTGAGTTATTAATGGATGTGTTACTTTTGTTTTATTTATTAAAAATTTTACATTGCACAGACGCGATATTTAATATATTCAAAAGGTCTTCAATGTTAAAGACAGTATCTCTTTCATTATTTTCCCACTTTTGAAGAATACGTACAGAACCACCATCATCTAAATTAAAGCTATTTCTTGGATTCTTGACAAAGAATTTTTCAAAATAATTTTTTAAAAGGAAATATTTTTAGAATTTTATATATTAAGTAGTTATAAATTACATAATCTCGTATATATTCTTATTTCGTATTCTTTTTGAACATTTGGAGAGAGTCCGTCCAAAGGTCCATGAGTGGCTTTTGTGGCTTCTTGAACGTGCTTGTTTCTACCCTTAATTCGCCTTGAACCTCTAGAACTTCCAACTCCATCATTTCCAGTTGAATATTCAATGCAAATCAAAGAAAAAATTAGAAAGAAAAACATTCCTTGTTTAAAGAATGAATTTAATTCGTTTAAGAAAATCATCTGGAAAATTTAAAAATAATTAACAACTTTGGAAAAATAAATTAAAAATAAGAAGAAATGATTATTGTAGATTTAAGAGAAATTAAAAATTAAAAAATTTAAATTGATGAGAGTTGAGGGGGATTCAACAATTATACATATAAAGTCAGTCTTGGCGAACATGTCCATTGAAGCGACTCACGCGCCAAATTTTGTAAATTTCTCTAACAACATTTGACATACATATCTCCATAATGAAACATGCTGCCCAGCTTGTTTAGAGGTTGTAAATATAACTCAAGATTTACCAGAGAGATTTGGCAATAACAAGCACGCGCAGGCATTGATTCTCTTGACTGCCAATATCGCCTATCTCTCTCTCGACTGCCAGTCAACAACTCCCTCGACTGCCATTCAATGACTCTCTCGACTGCCAGTCACTCATAAAATGCCCTCTATCTAACAAGAAAGAATAATTGCCGCCATTTGCAAAATATTAATTTTTGCAAAATTTGCTGTCACACGAGTTATTATGAAATTAATTTAGAAATGTTTGTATAATTTTGTTTTTATTAAGTTTATGTTCCCCTTAGCCTATTAAACAAAACAAAATGAAAACGATTAATTCGTTGTGGGATGATTGAGCGGTTAAAAATTGAATTGGAGAGCTTTTCAATATCAAGTCCTGTTCATTCTTTTGCTATTCTCTGATGCCCTTAAAGTATAAAAACGCACAGAAATAAAGAGGTTCAAATTAAAAAATATTGTAGCTATTTTAAAATAAAAACAATTTTAATTAATGGGGAGAGAAAATTTAAAATTTAAAAATTAAAATATTAAATATTTGATTTACGCTTTTTTG